TGTGCTAGACTGTGTCCTATAGCTGCTGGCCTTAGACTTCACCATAGCCACCTCTCTAGACCTCATAATTCAGGGGCTTAAAATCAAGAACATAAGCTCTCAGTCAGATCCACCAAATTTAGAAATACTACAGAGGTAGCAGCTCTATAGTCTTTGAACATTGCACTTTAATAACAGTTCTAAAAGTAGTTTTATTTATCAAAGAATCCCAAAGTCACCTGAACAAAAAGGCATTTGAGTTTTTTTCTGTTTTCCTGATAAAATATTTGATTTAAGTGTTTATAGAGTCTCAAGCTGTTGCCCTGGGTAGCGTGCTATGGCATCACAGCTCATAGCAACCTTGAACTCCTGGGCTCAAGCGATTCTCTTACCTCAACCTCCCAAGTAGCTGGGACTACAGGCACCTGCCACAACAACCGGCCATTTTTTGGTTGTAGCTGTCATTGTTGTTTGGCAGGCCCGGGCTGGATTCCAACCCACTAGCTCTCGTGTATGTGGCTGGCGCCTTAGCTGCTTGAGCTACAGGCACTGAGCCTCAATCACTGCTTTTGAAAGCATATGTAGTGAGAATAACATGGAATCAGACAGGCTAGGGCCAATATAACACAGCTGGGCTGATCAGTTTAGGTCCTAAGTGACCTTTACCTCCTGTCTCCCATTCTTACTGTTTTGTAAATTTAGCTCCCACCCAAAGATGCCTATCTTGAGTAGTTTAGGTGGATTGATTTAGGGGTTTAAATTTTGAATTGGAATGTTGTAACAGGTCACTGAGTTATGTTCATTATTATTATTATTTATTATTATTTTTTTTTTGCAGTTTTTGGCTGGGGCTGGGTTTGAACCCACCACCTCCAGTATATGGGTCTGGCACCCTACTCCTTGAGCCACAGGTGCCGCCCTGTGTTGATTATTATTTAAAATAAAGGTTAAGGTGGTCTTTGCTATGAACTTTAATATATATAAAACTGTGATTTTGGACATGGAAGAATAGAACAGTCTTGGGGAGGCTACTCTCACTGTTGTCCAGAATAGCTGAGTTTTGACAAATAAAGTTTGGTGGACCTATCCCCGTCTCTGCATATTGGTGACAGTGACAGGCAGCTGGACCCTCTTCTTCTGGTAACATTTCTGGTGACCACGAAGGGACCACTAGACTACTCAGGTAAGTGCTGTACTGGGGAAGCCTAGCAGTTACCTGGACAGGTGGGCCTGGGGGTGCAAAGCTTAAACACTCCCAGCAGCAGCCAGGAGATTTCTCCTGGGAGTTTTGAGGCCCTGCTCTCTCACACCTGCCGTCCTCATCCACTCACTAGAATCCACCTGCTTTATTTTGGTTGCTTGCTGAGAACTTTAGTTCTCAGCAGTTTGGGTTTTGTTCTCAAGAAATCTATTGTTTCTGTATCTGATCAGTATTATGGGAGCTCAGGCCTCATGGTTGCACACTGAGATCTTTAGATCTTGTCAGTTCTAGTTTTTCTGTCAAAAACTATTTTTTATTGTCAAATCTGGTGTTTCTGTATCTAGTCTGCATTTTGGGAGCTCAGGCCTCAATCCCAAATGCCCACTGGGGCATATTCTGTCTGATTGGTCCCAGTATGGGTACCCATCTATAACTAAGAAGCAATAAAAGTTTACTATAACAGGGCCTGGAGGGTATATCATCTTTTTTTTTTTTTTTTTTTTTGAGACAGAGCCTCAAGCTGTCCCCCTGGGTAGAGTGCCATGGCATTACAGCTCACAGCAACCTCCAACTCCTGGGCTCAAGCAAGTCTCCTGCCTCTGCCTCCCAAGTAGCTGGGACCACAGGCGCCCGCCACAACGCCTGGCTATTTTTTTGGTTGCAGCCGTCATTGTTGTTTGGCGGGTCCGGGCTGGGGATTCGAACCCGCCACCTTAGGTGTACGTGGCTGGCGCCTTAGCCGGTTGAGCTATAGGCGCCGAGCCGGTATATCATCTTGACTCTGGAGAAAAGTGGGCTTTGAATGGATTCTGAAATTATTTTAATGATGTTACATCATTTAAAATAACAAGTCTGGGTTGTTTTTTTCTTGGGAGAATTTATGAGTTTAACAGCAGTAATTAAAACTATATTTATATACCTAATTTGTGAGGTGTAAAAATGGTGAACCAAAAAAGAACTTATTCATTCTGACATGAATGAAAAATTATTACTGATAATTACACTAAGACATATCAATATTTTATATCAGGACATATGTATATATATGAATACAATTCATGGAAGTTGTATTTGGTTGGAACTTACCAACCAAATACAACACTTCATTTTAGCTATCGGTGGCAAAAGATGTTATGACAGGGAATATAGATGTTTAAGCAAAGCCAGTTTTTAAAGAAAGAAAAACCTAGATGGCTAATGATTATTCTTACTGCCTTTTAGGCAGGTAATCAGACCCAGTATACTGAGAGTACAGTTTATTTTGGCAAAGAAATTGGTTCTGCTATGATTTGTCTTTAATAAAATGAGAAGTTAGAGAGAGAAAAATATGGTTCAAAAATGAAAAAACTATGGCCCACCTGTATTAGATGCTGCTATGTGTGCAATGTCAGCACGTAAAATGACACATAGCTGTTTAACCAAACTGATCTGTTCACAGGACTAAGAGACTGGCCAAGGTTATAGAATTATATACAGTGGTCAGCTTTGCTCCAATTTGTTTTTTCTTTCTGCTCCTTCCTGAGACAACCTATTGATTTTTTTTTCTTTTTTAAGACAGTTTCACTTTGTCACCTTGGTAGAGTGCAGTGGCATCATAGCTCACAGCAACCTCGAACTCTTGGGCTCAAGCAATCCTTTGTCTAACCTCAGTCTCCCCAGTACTTGGGACTACAGACACCCGCCACAACACCCAGCTATTTTTAGAGACAGGTTATCACCTTAGCTCAGGTGAACTCCTGAGCTCAAGCAATCCACCTGCCTCAGTCTCCCAGAGTGCTAGGATTATAGGTGTGAGCCACTGTGCCCAGCCTCATATTGAATTTTAAAATGTAAAATCGTTTAATTTCAAAGTGGGCACTGAAAAGAAAACAAAATTAAAAATATTTACCTCAAAGTACATCTCTCTGACATATTTTGAGATAGCTGCCCCAGAAATAACATTACAAAAGCACACTAAAATGCTTGTTCCAATCTATAGACGATATGCCAAAAGATATGTGTGATTGGAGATTCAATTTGTCTCTAATAGGAAATAAATGGGATAGAAAAACCTGATAGGAAAAACCGAAAAAGCCTTAAGGCTCAACAAAAATCACTCAACTCGCTAGTCCAGGTGACTTCTAAATGGTTTCGCAACCCAACTTCACCTGTGCCGGCTTGAAGACACTAGATTGGGCCTCTATTTACTTCTTTACCCTGGAGTAGATTTTCAGATATTTTCCAGGTCCTGCATTCCAGTAATGGACCTACTCAGACCTAGGGACTTACTCAGCAGGCTTTAGACCTTCTGCAAAGATGGCCTTTCTGACTTTTCAAGGCCTCCAGCAGATGACCTTCAGTCTCTGTCATGGCATGCCCGACACCCTCCCGAGCAACATTATGCTACACTCTGAATTGCTTAAGAAGAGGCCCCTCGCCCTGCTTGGTGAAACCTGCATACATTCCAGTCGGTGACCAGGTTATCCTCAGGACGTGGAGGGAAAGACCTGATGAACAACTCGGAGAAAAGTGGACTGGCCCTGGACATCCAGCCTGTGACCCTCACAGTGGTCATGTTGTCTAGATGACATCACTCCTGCATCAAGCCTTATCCCCCTGAGGAAACCAACAAACTCGAGCCTGCCCAGTGAACTGCACATCTGGAAGAGAGGAGGGTTAAGAGCTTCAGAAGTCAGGATGGGAAGTTTGCTGTTCTCAGACACCTGTGTTTGTTGCTGTGTTCAGTGTGCCCCTTGTTGTCTGTTGTTAACTCTGCTGTGTGTTGCTCCCAGTGTAACTTTAAACCTATCCCTGGATAAATGCAGTACATTGTAGTAATTGTTTCCATTTATAATCTGTTTCATAGAAAAAAATATATTAATAGGAATGGGGAATGAAAGCCCATGTGGTGAGGATAAGATGGAGTCAGTCAGGCTCAGGCCAACATGACACAGCTGGGGTGGTCAGTTTAGGTCCTAAGTGACCTTTACCTCTTGTCTCCTATTCCTACTGTTTTGTAAATTTGCTCCCACCCTAAAGATGCCTATCTTGAGTAGTTTAGATGGGTTGATTTAGGAAATTAAATTTTGAATTATAATGTTATAACAGGTCGCTGAGTTATGTTGAGTATTATTTAAAATGAAGGTTAATGTGGTCTTTGCTTTGAAGTTTTATATATAAAACTGTGATTCTGGAAATGGAAGAACAGAACAGTCTTGGAGAGGCTACTCTCACTGTTGTCCAGATCTGCAGACTGGCTGACAGTGACAGGCAGCCAAACCCTCTTTGGTGACAGGATGATAAAATCACCTAACAATAAATTTCTGAGAAGATATCCTTGTTGTTCAGCAGCTGCTTATAAATAATGGGGCCACACGAAGATGTGTGCTGCCCGCAGGATGGCAAGGTGGCTCTGACCTCCTCCTCCGTTCCTACTACCTGCAATGGCAGGCTGTCTGCACTTTTTGACTACTGTTGGCCGGCACCCAGACCCCACCGTGGGAGCCAGCTGGAGGCTTCCACACAAAGACACGGAGAGGTGTCTCAGGGGTCTGCTAGGGCTGGTGCTGAGGACAGAGACAGAGGGGTATCCCTGTATTTTGGGATCCTCTGTGGCTGCAGAAATTCCAGACTGAGACTTCATACCCTGAGTCTGGGAGGAGCTGTGTGTGGGCTGGAGCCAGGAGGAGGAGGGAAGCCCTCAGGAGGGAGAAAGGAGGCTGAACTTTGTCCAGCTTCTGGCTTAGCCTTGAGCTGGCAGTTATAAGCTTGCTCCTGGCGCTGAGGGCCAGTATCAAGCCCCACTGCTGAGGAGCAGGTACGTGCCAGTTGTGAGCACAGCATGATGGCCAAGGGGCTTCCCCTACGCTCCGTCCTCGTTAAAGGCTGCCAACCCTTCCTGAGTGCCCCCTGTCAGCGCCCCGGGAATCCCAGCGTGCCCACTAGCAAGGGAGCTAGCATCTCCACCCAAAGTCCTCGCCCCTTCAGTGAGATCCCTTCTCCTGGTGACAATGGATGGATAAACCTGTACCGATTCTGGAGGGACAAGGGCATGCACACACTCCACTATCACCACGTCCAGAATTTCCAGAAGTATGGTCCCATTTTCAGGTAAACCTGGCCAAGGGAGAGGGCTGTTGGGATAAGGATGTGGAGGGGCCCAGGCAGACCTGCCATGCTCCCCTGTCTCCAGATGGTCTGTTTTCTGGTTCCAGGCTCCTTTCCACTTTCTGATTTTATTTCTTCCAGGCCTAGGAATGGTGGTGGGAGAAGGGAAATTCTTCCCAGTTCCCAGGCCTGAGGTTTCAACCTGCCCCAGACCCCATTCCCCTTGTAACTTTATGGTGGGAGGGGGTGCAGGAAAACAAGTCCTGCTAAGTCCTCCTTGTATCCATCATCCTCAGGACGCCTTGTAAGGTAAGTTTGTTAGCTCCACGGTCAGAAGAGGAGACCGAGGCTCAGAGAGGTCATCCAGCTAGATTCCTGTCCTGCTTGGAAGACAGGTTTGACTATCTTTTTCTATATCCAGTCCCCAGGACCTGGAAAAAATCAGTTTGACCACCTTTTCCTATATTCCTATATTTTCTGTATTCATTAACAGTGGCTTAATTCCAAGAGCCTATAAACCAGTAAACCAGTTCAGTTACTTATAAGTTACTGACATTGAGTGTTGTTAAAAAGAGATATTCTTAGATTAATGGTAGGTTAACAGTGAGGAAGTGAAATAATGTGAAAATTGCTAAGGAATTCAAGGATAGGGTTAAATTACTATGGGTTGGCTGGGTCCACAGTTTTAGCAGTTTTTGAGCAACCTTCAAGCCACACCTGGGTCCTTTACTCGGAGCCCAGTACAGAGGGATGGGAGACCATGTACGGGGTGGTTTGGGCTGTTAGGGGACACAGGAGCAACAATAGACTTTACTTTAAGTGAAAGGGTCTTTACAATTCAAAGAATTCTAATGGGCTGTTTGTGAAGGTGGTACACAAAGGTCATGTTGGCTTAGGATGGAAGGGCCAGCTTGTTTGTGTTGGGATCTAAGCTGCTACCCCCTTTATCTCTGCTTCCTCCCCTCTCCCTACTTCCTAGCCCTCACTAGGAACTCCTTGTTTTAAAGCTCCTTTCTGTTTGTTTCTGAGTCACTTTTATCTGAATCTTGCAACATGCCCTTGAAGTTAGTGTTATCCTCATTTTACAGGTGGGAAAACTGAGGCCCAGTGAGCAGAAGGGTCTTATCAATGTTACACGGCTCATAAGGGCACAGCCAGGGCCGGAGCTGAAATGGTCTAGTTCTGTGTGTTGCCGTGCTGTGACTTTTAACCTAGCAATGATACATTTCTTAATAGATGCAAGGAATTTAAAAGACAACTTTTGTGTGGTTTTCCTCTAATACAAAGGATTGTTTTTGCTTTTTAAAAAAGCTATTTAGAAGCACAAATGAGAAATAGAAGTTGGTTACAATCTCAACTTTGATAATATTTAAGCATCGTTATGAATACATTCTATATGCTCTACGGCGTTTCAGAACAGTGCATCAGGGACTTCTTTCCTTTCTTCTCTAATATAAATTAAAAGGCAGTGTAATAGTCCATAGTTTGGATAATTTTAGTCAGTTTTTAGAGGTCTATTCTGATGCTGGGATGGGATAAATATCCCCATCCATCAGGCAGTGTTGCTGTGTCAGATCATTGCCTTGGGCTGGAGTCCCAGAAGTGGAATGGATAATAATAAGAGCAGTTCAAGGACTTGGTTGAGCTGGGGTGGGGGTCTGGGGCTAGTGTAAGGACACATGGTGGCTGGAAAAACACAGGGGATTTTCTGGGAGGCCACAGAACAAGTGAAGGCCTGAGACTTGGGAGAGTAGGTAGGCTTTCTGGCTCTGGGTGTAGGCAGCACTGTCAGGCTTGGTGCCCATAGCTCAGTGGTTAAGGCACCAGCCACATACACCAGGGCTAGAGGGTTCAAACCCAGCCTGGGCTTGCTAAACAACAATGACAACTACAAAAAAAACAAAACAAACAAACAAAAAAAAGCATCTGGGCGTGGTGGTGGGTGCCTATAGCTCCAGCTACTTGGGAGGCTGAGGCAAGAGCATTGCTTAAGCCCAAGAGTTTGAGGTTGCTGTGAGGTGTGATGCGACGGCACTTTACCGAGGGCGACATAGTGAAACTCTGTCTCAAAAACAAAAACAAAAACAAAAACAAAAAAGACAGCCCTGTCAGAGAGAGAACTTGGAGCGTACTTGGCTTGTATCTGTATTCTTAATGATATTTTCCCTTAAAATACATCTTGGATTAACTTTCTTAGGCAAAAGGCAGAAGCAAGCAAGAAGCAGAATCCTCTTGCTGTTTTGTAGTAAATAGACAATAGAAACTTGGCTTAGACAATAAAACTACTATTTGACAGTTTTGGAAACTAGAAGTTAGCAAGGTGTTGGCAAGGTTGGTTTCTCCTGAGGCCTCTCTGTCTCTCTGGTGTGTAGATGGCCGCCTTCTCCCTGGGGCATCACATGGCCTTTCCTCTGTGTATGGCTGTGTCCTAATTGCCTCTTCATACATTTTTTTTTAATTTTTTTAGAGACGAAATCTCACTTTGTCGCCCTCGGTAGAGTGCTGTAGAATCACAGCTCACAGCAACCTCCAGCTCTTGGGCTTAGGAGATTCTCTTGCCTCAGCCTCCTGAGTAGCTGGGAATACAGGTGCCCGCCACAATGCTCAGCTTTATTTTTTTTGTTGTTGTTGCAGTTTGGCCAGTGCTGGTTTCGAACCTGCCACCCTCAGTATATGGGGCCAGCACCCTATTCACGGAGTTATAGGCACTGCCCACCTCTTCGTACATTTTAATAGAGACAGTCTTCAGAGAGCTTTGTGTGCCCTGCCTGTCTGTGTGCTCAGGGCCTGATGTTTTGTCACAGTTTTATTTTAACAGAGAGGAAGTGTGTATTGTTGGCTCCATCTGACTCCTGGGAGAAGGGTGGCCACTCCCCAGATTTCATTCCTAGAACCCGCATGCACTTTGGCTTCAGATATGGCCTCCCTAGTGTGCCCCAGTGAGTCACTCCAGTGGTATCATGGATATGTGCCTTGGTTCTGAGCTCTGTGAGTGAGTGCAAAGCTGGGCCTGCTGCCAGAATAGACACAGGAAGTGGTGATCATAAAGCTGTCACTCATAAAATTCTTAGTAAAGGTCACACCCATTTATTCATATCATCTGTCCTTGAGCAACCTTGTGAGACAGGCACTATACAGTGGAGCCTCTGTAGCTGACCATCTCCCTACACTGGCCTAATTTTCACAGAGCAACTGTGTACCACATGTACATATCATATCAGTACCGTAGGCCTAGGTCCTTATGTTGACCACCTCCGTGTGTTGACTAGTTTGTTACAGTCCCTTAGGTGGTCAAGTTACAGAGGTTCTACTGTATTTGTCTCCACTTTATAGAAGAGGAAGCAGAAATTCAGAGTGATTAAGGGCCTTGCCTCACGTCACACTATCAGTAAATCGTGGAACCTTAAGGCAGTTGTGCTAAGACTGTGGCCATGGCCCTTCTCAGATCCTTCCATCAACCTCTCTCCCTCACCACTCCAGGGAGAAGCTCGGCCCCATTGAATCAGTTTACATCATCGACCCGGAAGACGTGGCTCTTCTGTTTAAATCTGAGGGTCCCAAACCAGAGCGGTATCTCATCCCCCCCTGGGTTGCCTATCATGAGTATTACCAGAGACCCGTGGGAGTCCTGCTTAAGTGAGTCTTGGGCCATCTGCCAGGGACTGGGGGGAGGTGATGGGGATCTGTGGAGAGGGGAGGGGCTGGGGATGAGGGCCTGGGGCCAGGCTCGTCCTGCATGTCCTGGCAGGTCCTTTAGGCAAATCCTTTCTATTCTCTTGTCTCCTGAAAATGATGGTAATGATGAACTACCCTGCCACCTCTGGAAAAATGATCAGGCTAAAGAGCTTAATGAATAATTGAAGACCTCTCAGAGTTCTTGTTTACTAGTTCACGACTGAGTCCCACCTTACTGGGTACTGTCGCTAGTCCTTGCACAGGTGCTGGAGAGACAATGACTCTCCCCGGGAGTCCCACACAGCTGAAGGGGGCAGTGGGAAACGGACAAATCAGTGTGTTTAAGTGTAGTGGATTCTAGTTTCAAAAATTTAAAATGTGATCATGCCAAGTGATATTGAGGCTATGGAGCAACTGTGGGACCCATTGCTGGTAGGAGTGTAAATTCTGCCACTACTTTAGAAATGGTTGGATATTATCTCCTAACATTGAATATTCACAGACCTGTGACACAGCAATTTTGATTTCTAGGACGTATTTCAAAGACTGTTCCCCTGGAGGGACATGCACTAGAATGTTTTGCAGTAGTGCTGTTCATAATAGCAAAAATCAGGAGACCACTAAGTGCCCAACAGGAATGCGAATGAACGAATAGTGGTCTATACCAACTACAATACAGATGGTTCTTAGACAAAGATGACTGAATAAAGGCCACAAAATAAGTGAAGGCCTGAGACTTGGGAAGGTAGCTAGGCTTTCTGGCTCCGTAGTTAAGGCAGCACTGTTCCCCAAAGCATGACAGCCTTTTAAAACTTGATCTTAGCTAAAAGGCCAAGAAGCAATGTGACAGCCTTTTTAAAGAAGTTGAAAACAAGTATACCTTTTTAGAAAATATTTCTTAGAAATAAATGTAGTTCATACAAAACTATATGAGAGGTTTAGGGATAAAATCTGGGTCAGGATCCACAAGGAGAGGAGGCCAGCCCAGGGATGAAGGATAGATTTTAAATAATTAATTAAATAATTAAAGGAGCAGAATGGAGTCTGACCAGAAGTCAGCCCCTCTAACACAGTGTCAAGGGTTTTTTATTAGTGTAGTTGGAATGTGGGAGGGGGTCATGAGAGGTGAGGGAAGTCATCTTTCCTGCAGAGTGAACAGTGCTATGTCTGAGACTGATTTTACAATTACTGCCTTCTGCGAAAGGTGTTAATCTTACACCAGGGCAGTATCTCTAGTGCCAGCCAGGATGAGAGTAGGAGATGCTGGTGTTTCCCAGGAACACTGGCCTTGAAGCATTTCAGGAGGGTGGGAAGGAGATTGCTGTGCCCATGCCATTTGGTCTCTGATCTGCTTTCTGTCACTAGCTGTCCTCCAAGAATAGCTATACCCTTGTCAGGGTCATGAGGATTTACAGGAGTGTAGGAAGAGGGTTGCCATAATCATAAAATTTCGATTCTGGCCTGCTTTCTTTTGCTACCTGTCTCCCAAATAGCTGTACATTTGTCAAAGTTCTGGAGATTTCTTCCCCACATTATAAACAAAAGAGAGCAAAGGATTCAGGTTGGCAGTCCCCTTAGAGGGGGACAAAGGGGATGGAAGGATTAAGTAGGCAAATATAAGTCCTTAGTTTTCATGGAAGGTGAAAAGTGTATAATAATATTATTATAAACAGCAAAAAAAAAAAAAAAAAGGAAGGAAGGAAGGAAGGAAGGAAAAAAAAAAAAAAAAGAAAAAAGAAAAAACACTCCCCAAATTACAAACAGAGCTTCACATGGATCAACTTTCAGGTGTGCTGTGAACGAAAATTTATGATTAACCCAGTTCTAGGCACCTGAAGTTTCCCACCAATTGAATAATGGGACTCTGTGGGGATGCAGGGACGAAGAGCTCAGTCAATTCTGTCTCTGCAAGAGTCAGAAAAGGTGATCCAGATGAGCTCTTCAGTGGCAAAGGTGAGCTTTGGCCAGGAGGAAGGGGAAGTGGCGTGGAAGGTGTGCTTTTAGCCAAGGCAAAGACTGGAGATCTCGAAAGTTACTCAGAGGGTATAAGAATGTGAGTTTCTGGTTTGCAGCAGGAGCAGCGGGGGTGGGGGTGGGGTGGGGGTGGGGTTTCCTCCTTCACCCTCTTTGTTCCTTTCTCCTCTCCCGGGCCAAGCAGAGCAGGGAGGAGGTGAAGACAGGGGCCTTGATAGGAGCGCTGGGTGCTCTGAGCTGTGGCTCAAGCCATGGGAGAGCCAAGTCAGCCCCCAGGCCTGGGGTCTGTGACCATGAGGGCCTGAGGGCCCATGTTTTCTCAGGAAGTCAGAAGCCTGGAAGAGAGACCGGGTGGCCCTGAACCAGGAGGTGATGGCTCCAGAGACCATCAAGAACTTTGTGCCTCTGATGGATGCAGTGTCTCAGGACTTCGTCGGTGTCCTGAACAGGCGCATCAAGCAGCAGGGCTTTGAGAAGTTCTCAGGGGACATCAGTGATGACCTGTTCCGCTTTGCCTTTGAGAGTAAGGGGCTTGTATCTGGCTGGCAGTGGGTCTGGGGGTAGGAGAACCCAGCGTTCACTCTTTTACCTTGAGACCGAGCACAGTCCCTGCAGAAGCATTGAGATTGGCTTCTGGGATGAGATGTTGATCACATCCTCCACCATCAACTGCCTAGAGGGAGCTGCACATTCTTCTCATCTGGTACTCATGCAGTGGGGATGAGGGTCCTCAAAGTATAAGCCCCTATTGCCACTCTCCTCCAAAACCCAGAGGTTGGATTAGCTCTTCATTCTGCAAGACATTTTCCCTGCGGACATAGACCTTCAAAGTCTGGTAGGGGAGAAGAGGGCTGGGTGGTTAATCTAAGTTAGGCCTTGAAGAATAGGCAGGAGTTTTCTAGGTGAGGGAAGGAAGGCAGTTGGTACAGACAGAGGGAATGACCTGTGCAAAGGCCCTGAAGCCCGTGGTCACTGCAGGAGACGTGGGGTGGCTAGAGCTTGACATGAAACCAGCACTCAAATTCCTTACCCGGTAGGTGAGAAACACTTGAGGTTGTTGTAACTTCTAAGGTCCAGCCAAATTGGGTCTTGGATGGCTAATTACCCAGGGACTTACGTCCTTCAATCTCCCACCTGACCTGTTTTCAGGACGTATTTAGCCAATTTAGTCATTATAGGTGAGAAATCTCTCTTGGTGGAAGGGTGGGCGGAGCAGATTCATCCCAACCTGGGCCTCTCCTGGCTCTGCTGGAGACCCTGCTTTCCATCTAGGGACCCCTTCCTAGGGTCTGCCACATGCCCCTCTGAAGTACCTAAGGGGGTGTCAGAAGTCAGCTTTCCTCAGACCTGCATTCTCAGCCCTTGGGACTCAGGCCTCAGTTTCTTTCCTGAAGGAGGATGAGGGTGGGGGTGAGGGGGTCCTGTGTGGTGTGGGGTCAGGTGGGAAGGTGAGGAGTCCCTGGGAGCCGAGACTCTCGGATACCCGGGTCAGAAGGGGCTTCTCAGCCTCTGCTTCCCCCCTGCAGATATCACCAATGTCATGTTTGGGGAGCGCCTGGGGATGCTGGAGGAGATCGTGGACCCCGAGGCCCAGCGGTTCATTGACGCTGTGTACAAGATGTTCCACACCAGCGTCCCCATGCTCAACATCCCCCCAGAACTGTTCCGTCTGCTTAGGACCAAGACCTGGAGGGACCACGCAGATGCATGGGATGTGATTTTCAGTAAAGGTGAGAAAATCACCCCGGCTGTGCCCTGGGCAGTCAAGCATGAGGCCTGGGAGAGACCTGTCTGCTCAGGCTGGACCTCTTTGCCCCAAGCTATAGCAATGGGCAGTGACTTGCTGAGTAGGAAAGCCACCCTCTGGTAGTCAGGGATGGGTGTTAGGAGGGCCTTGGAACTCCTGGCAATGGTGGGCTGAAGGCCGACGACTGGGGATGATTAGAATTTTTTGATGAAAGAAGAGCAGAGATGTCCATGATAATTCTTTTTTTTTTTTTTTTTTTCCTTGGGGTGACCTGGTGAACTCTGATCTCAAAGTAAGCATAAACTAAGTTGTGCTCTAGTAACAAATAATCCCAAATCCAGGAACTTAAACAATGAGGGTTTATTGCTCCCTCCCCAGCAGGGGGCTCTGTTCTTTAACATCATTGTCCTTTCTAGGACTCAGGCTGATGGAGCCCCCGATAATTCTTTAAAGCAGCAGTCCCCGACATTTTTGGCACCAAGGACAGGTCTCATGGAAGACAATTTTTCCAGGGACTGGCGGTGGGGGGCATCACATCCTCATAAGGAGTGTGCATCCCTTCCATGCACAGTTTACAGTAGGGTTCTCACTCCTATGTGAATCTACACTTATCTGACAGGAGGTGGTGAATGCAGGTGATGGGGACCCGCTGTAAATACAGAAGACGCTTCACTTGCTCATCTGCCACTCACCTCCTGCAGCGTGGCCCAGTTCTTAACAGGCCATGGACTGGTACTGGTCCATGGCCCAGGGAATGGGGACCGAGCTTTAAGAGAGCTCATGATGCCCAGAGGGTAGAGGCCAATATCTGAGCCAGGGCTGTGCTAGGTGACAGGGATGGGGTGAGCTGGGGGCTAGGACTTGGGTGGGAGGATGGGAAGATGGATTGGAGAAGGCTGGATGGGGTTTGGTGGAGGCACCTTACACCCATGTGATCTTGCCCCTGTTTCCTTATCTGTAAAATGGAGATACTGTCACATACCCCAAGGATTCATTGAAAACCCAGGTAAGAGGCTCGGCGCCTATAGCTCAACCGGCTAAGGCGCCAGCCACGTACACCTAAGGTGGCGGGTTCGAATCCCCAGCCCGGACCCGCCAAACAACAATGATGGCTGCAACCAAAAATAGCCGGGCGTTGTGGCGGGCGCCTGTGGTCCCAGCTGCTTGGGAGGCGGAGGCAGGAGACTCGCTTGAGCCCAGGAGTTGGAGGTTGCTGTGAGCTGTAATGCCACGGCACTCTACCCAGGGGGACAGCTTGAGGCACTGTCTCAAAAAAAAAAAAGAAAACCCAGGTAAGAAAGGCTTAGTACAGAGCAAGCGCTCAGTGAAATGGCAGCCGTCCCAGCCCCAAGCCCTCTGCACCACCTCAGCAGAGAGCACCCTCCTTCTGCCCATCTACAGGGGACTTCACTCTCTTTTTCTCTTCTCCTGTGCCACAGCTGACAAGTACACCCAGAACTTCTACTGGGACGTGCGAAAAAAAAGAGACCTCAGCAACAATTACCCCGGCATCCTCTACCGACTCCTGGGAAACACCACACTGCCCTTTGAGGACATCAAGGCCAACATTACTGAGATGCTGGCAGGAGGTGTGGACACGGTGAGGTGGCCACATCTTGTGCCCTCCTGTGTCCGTATGCCCCATCCCCATCTGGCTGCCTTGTTATTTTACCTTAATTATGTCTTTAAATGTTCTGTCTCCTAGAATCTCTCAGAGGTACTAGGGGTTAGGACTGTGAATGTGGCGGGGGGTGAGGGGGGGACATGATTCAGTTACAGGGAGGCAGCTATGTGAATGGATGACCACCATGCCATCGTGGAGCTGCCATGATGGGTATACACCAGCCAAGTCAGGGAGGAAGCCCTGTGGAGGGTTAAACTTCAACTTGTGTCTTGAAGTTAGTTGCCAGGAGGCAAGAAGGAGTAGCATTTCAGGATGAGAAGGAGCATGTGTCAAGGCCCTGGTTTAACACCCTCCTTTCCCAGCTATTATCCCTCCATTACACTCTGATGGAGAAGTTTCCATTGCAGTGGGAGGCTGAACATGGAGCTTTTGAGCATATTTTATACATAGTTCATTGTCAGGTATGTAGAAGAGAGAGCCAAAAGTCCCTCATCAAAGAAGCTGTTACCATGTGGTTACATTTATTATGCACAGACTTTGGCAGGCAGGGTCCTAAGCTTTTCACATTTACTATCTCATTTAATATTCACAAACAACACCATGGAATATGTTGTTATTATCCCCCTCTTAAGATGGGGGAACTAGGACACAGAGAGGTTAAGTAACTTGGTCAAGGTCACACAGCTAGTAACTTAAGTTAACTACCTGATTAAACAAGTATCTTCAAGTGCCTCCTCTGTGGCAGGCCTGGAGGTACCAAGACAAACACACATGTTTGGATGGAGTCTTGGAGAAGGAGCATACACTTGCTTCTTGGGTGGGGAAGGGCATTCCCGGAAGAGGAACTTCTGGGGCAGACTTTGGGTTCCAGAGCTGTGTGTGTTCCACACAGTGAGGGCAGAAGGGCAGTTGGGGAGAGGTGGGATGGGAGGTGGATGAACAACAGATGGGTGTCAAGGGGTCCCGTGGAATAGGCCTGACCCTCCACTCTTCATCTGGAGGCGCTGGAAGCCAGGAAGATTTTAAACTGGGAAGGGCCTGGGTGATGTTTTTTTCACTGCTGTTCCTGCTGGGAGGAGGGAGGAGTGTGTCTAAGCCTCTTGGACAAAAATACGGCCCTTGGTAAGACATGGTGCCAACAACTCATATCCTAGCCACAGGAGAGCAGGCTGCTCCAGGCTGGGGCCTCATGTGGGCTTAGTTTGTCATTACTGAGGAATCTGGGACCTCTAGAAAAGGGCTAATGGTCACAGCCTCTGATTTACATGGAGATCAGCTGGTTAATCTCAGCATATACCTCATGCTGATTGAAACACTGATAGAAAACAGCTCTGGCTGGTCTGGCTTCCTTGTCTCTGAATCTTTAAGCAGATATTGCTAAACAAATGCTAAAGTTTGGGGAAAGTCTATTGTTTAAAAAGTGTTTCAAAAGGAATGGCAGTCATTCCAGAGTACAATCAGTACAGAAGGAGAGGATATTCCAGAGGCTCTAAAGGCCTCTGGAATTCTTTGGAAGAAAGCATTGGCTGGGGAGATGGGCAAGTATTGATAAAATGAGAGATGGAGGCAGGGACAATTGCTTCTCCAGACATTCCTGCCTGGGTGGCAAGAAAATCTTGAACACTTGCCTTTTGGATTATGCTTCATGTGGTCTTGGAGGTTGGGATGAAGGTTGGGGGGAGAGAGGTTCTTGGAAACAAAAATTTAGTGTGCATCACAGACCTCAGTGTGCCCCAGAGTGACAGCACCTTCTGGTCTTCTGCACCCTCGCACTCCCTTCCAGACATCTATAACCCTGCAGTGGCACTTGTATGAGATGGGACGCAACCTCAAGGTACAGAATATGCTGCGGGCAGAGGTCCTGGCTGCCCGGCGCCAGGCACAGGGAGACCTGGTCCAGATGCTGCAGTTGGTCCCGCTCCTCAAAGCCAGCATAAAAGAGACACTGAGGCAAGCCCATACCCACCCCTGTCCCCCACAACTCTAACCACTGGGCAGCCAGGCTGGTGCACGGGGAAAGGATTGGTGTAAGGGTGGGCTGGTGGAGGAGGTCCCCTGGGCTGCCACATCTGGGGCTGACATGCCACGCTGGTGTGTGGGAATTGGGGGTGAAGAGGCTGTGTCCAGACTTCAGGACCATCTTCTCCTGCAGACTCCACCCCATCTCGGTGACCCTGCAGAGGTATATTGCAAACGACTTGATTCTTCAAGATTACATGATTCCTGCCAAGGTAGGTGCAGCGAAGGGGCTGCAGGAGGTGCCAGTCAGACAGAGAGAGTTGGGGGCAGCCTGCAGTTACAGATTGAAAGTGGTGCAGGGGTCATGGTAGGGCTCACGTCAGCAGTAGTCCAAGTTTGGATGAAGGGCAGAGGGAGCGGGCATGATGGGTGTGACCTTTGGAATGGTGCTGGAGCCCAGAGTTAGCAGGTAGGTCTGCCTGAGTCTCAGGGGGCCCCTAGGCCTGAGGTAAGGGCAGAATAGTCCTTTGGGTCATTCCGGCCTGTGTCTTCAGCCATCCATCTCCATTTAGTGGGTGAGGCTCATGGAGGGCAAAATGTCCTGTCCTGAATAACTGGGTGGCCACACTGGGGAGTGGGGTAGGTGCCTGGGGAATCTGGGTGTTGTGCTCAGGGCTATGGGCTGGTGGGGCCTACTCAGACCTCTGATTACCTTGCCCCAGACATTGGTGCAGGTGTCTAACTACGCCCTGGGCCGAGAACCCAAATTCTTCCACAACCCGGAGACCTTTGACCCAACCCGTTGGCTGAGCAAAGATAAGAACATCACCCACTTCCGGAACCTGGGCTTTGGGTGGGGTGTGCGGCAGTGTCTGGGCAGGCGGATCGCCGAGGTTGAGATGACCACCTTCCTTATCCATGTAAGTCAACTCAGGGGCATCTGGGCACCCTGGGCTGGCCTTGGCCTTAAGGAAGGCACCAGCCCTCCTTATCTCTGTCCAGAGTCCAGGGAGTGCAGGACTAGGGCACATGTGCCTCTGACGACTTGCCCTGGTTCTTTCCCACAACTCCTTGCTGCCCTCTGTGGGGCTCAACCACTCATACCCACTGATGTCCCCTGGCCATCCATTCCCCACTGTGGTGATGGGTCAGGCTAGGGGGGTTGTAGACTAGTTAAGGTTACGGTCTAAATCAAGGGAACAAAGCATGAATGGTGCATTTTCAGGCACTGAACAGGGTTAATTAGGAGCCAGTGTTGAGCCCCTAGAAGCTCCTCAAATCACACCCAGTGGGCGCAGCCTACAGGTGAAGGAGGCTGGCCCAGGAAGACAGATTCTCCTTTGCCCTGGCCTGCCCCAAGCCCACCGCCTTTCTTTTTCAGATGCTGGAGAACTTTAGAATTGAAGTCCAAAATCTCAGTGACGTGGGTACCACGTTCAACCTCATCCTGATGCCTGATAAGCCCATCATCTTCACCTTCCGGCCCTTCACTCAGGACCCAAGCCAGGCGTGATCAGAGAGGATGGCCAGAGTCATGTGGGAGAAAGGCTGGGGGAGGGCCCCATTGGGGTCCTGCATCTTCAGTCCTCTGTCCCCAGGCCTGCACCATCTGCCCACCCACTGAACAGGTGCATTGGGTTCTCAGGGTCACCTGCCCCAGCCCAGTTGACCTGCTCTTCTTCACCCACCCCATGAAGACAATAAATGGCTGAGCAATGCAATGTTTTCACTTCAGTTAGGCTCCTAAGGGGTTCATCAGTCCCATGGGGATGCTCCCTGACCCTGGGTCAACAGTGGGATCCGGGGCATCCTTGGAGATCCAAGGCAGCAATACTTGAGGGCATCTTTGCTATGACCCACCTACCCACAGCAGCTCAGGAGCCAGCAGGATCAGACTTGGGGCTCCCTGGGGCAGGGGGTCAGGTGAGGGGGGCATTACTGCCACGATGCTGGGAGTTACGGAAGCATCCGTCAAAGAGATGAAGGAACTTGTGGGTTCTGCAGAGAGGACTGGGCGGCCTGAGAGGTGTGGGCCAGTCCTGCCTTCCCGGGTGGGCCCGCCTGGCAAGGGATGAGGCTCACAGAGGGCTCTACTTGGCTGAACTCTGGGTGGGAGTCGCCTGTGGAGTCATGAGGACTTTCTGCCAAGGTCCAGACAGAGTTTTGGGGATGTCTAGGGCTGAGGATGGGAGAGGTGACACCATGTCTCCTAGGTGCTGGTAGGAAGTAGCATCCCTGGGGATAAGAGGCCAGCATGTTTCCTCTACTCCCCCTGGCTTTCCTCTGGGCTTGCCTCAGACCTCATCTTCTTGCTCCAGGGGAACATGCCCCTTGTCCAGGTCCTGGGCAGTAGGCAGGGACAGCATTATTTGGACTGTAGAACACTGGTCTCAATTTCAGCTCCCTTAACTCCCTCTGAGTTCCACATTTCCTGACTCGTCCTGACCCTTGGCTAGCTGAGTCTAAGTTCTGCAGGCAGACTGGGGAGCTAGTCCAGCTTGGATAGTGGGCTGGTGGGCTTGGCATCTCTACAGGTCCACAGGTTCTGGCTCCACTTAAGGAGCCTTCATCCCTCACCAGGCAACCTTCCTTCCCTGTTGTCTTTTTCTCTCCTTCCTGTTTCCTTTATCTCCTCTGGGTTTGAGTCACCTTTAACTCACAAATATTAGATCCTGGCTCGGCGCCTGCGGCTCAAGCGGCTAAGGCGCCAGCCACATACACCTAAGGTGGCGGGTTCGAATCCCCAGCCCGGGCCCGCCAGACAACAATGATGGCTGCAACTAAAAAATGGCCGGGCGTTGTGGCCGGCGCCTGTAGTCCCAGCTACTTGGGAGGCTGAGGCAGGAGACTCGCTTGAACCCAGGAGTTGGAGGTTGCTATGAGCTGTGATGCCATGGCACTCTACCCAGGGGGATAGCTTGAGGCTCCGTCTCAAAAAAAAAACACAAAAAACAAAAACAAATATTAGATCCTTACTATAAAAGAGGTCAAATTCTGCATGGGACAGATAGGGAAAGCAAAGTCCAGAGAGATTGCTTGGGCCACCTGAGGGCATACAAGCACACTTGCAGCTAGAATCCAGGCCTCCTGACTCTCAGTGGGAACCTCCTTTCCCTGGTCCCAGCTGCTCTCCTATCCCTGGCTACATCTGGGCCTAACATTGCCAACTCAGCCCATCATAGTTAACAGGACAGCTCACACTGATTTGTAATTGACTGCCACAAGAAAGCACAAAGTCTTTTTCTTCTCAAGAGACAGATAAATCAAATTTGAAAGAAAGGACTTCAGGCTAGGTGTGGTGGTGGCTCCTGTCCGTAATCCCAGCACTTTGGGAGAGGTTGAGGCAGGAGGATTGGTTGAGCCGAGGAGTTTGAGGCTGCAGTATGATCATGCCACTGCCCTCCAGCCTGGCAATAGAGTGAGACTCTATAATAAAAGAGGGACTTCAGACATAATAGATGTTTTGGGGCAAATGGAAAGTCCTAGCCTCACTCTTATCTCCCAACAGAACTGGCCTCTTTTTTTCCGGAGGTCTAGAAGCTGCTTGTTTCCCTGGTCCCTGCTTGGGAAGCAGTCTTCTCTTCAGTCTCCTGAGTCTACTGTGTCCTCTGGTTCTCCAAAGATGCTAGCTCCTGGGACAGGCAGGAGCTGTGTGTGGCTGTGTACCTCAAGTAGAGGGTCTGAGAGGAGGAAGCTGGCCCAGAAAAGAGGCACATACTCATGGAGCTACAGCATTTTATAACGTCATTTTTAGTGGGTGAAGATGAGATTGTCCAGCACATGGAGAAGGTGGCCTGCCCCAGTGCTCAGGCCTGCTGAGACTTAGAAGTCACCTGGGAGCTCACGGGCTCGTTGAGCTTAGTCTCTGAGCTGGACAGCAAGGGCTCCAGCTTTGAGGGCCGCTTGAGGTCCTTGGATTGGGCGGGGGCATTCTGTGATATGCAAAGCAAGGCGCGTGAGTATGGCTCCCATTATTGGGGGATGACCTCTTCAAGGGCACCTTGCTTGGAAAGCCATGCCTCAGAGGATCCAGAACTCAGTGGGCCATAACTTCTCAAAGATTTCAAAACACATTTTATCACAGCAGACCACACTTAATTTCTCTCAAGAGTCCCCAGGGCTCCAATAAGTTTGCAAAGGTAGCCTTCTGTCCCCTGTTGGTTCCCTTATCCTTCTTAGCCTCTTCCAGGAGCTACTGAGCCTGTGGCCATGAACAAAGTGCTACTGGCTCAGGAGCGGAAGAGCTGCCCTGGGGGCTAGGTGGTCCCAGGACCTAGCTTGAGGGGAAGTGGTGAGCAGGCCTGTTTGTTCTTGGGAGCCTAACTGCACAGGGCAGCTGCCTAGAAAGGGCATGCTACCAGGACAGTCTTAGGCACTGTGGAGCCAGGTGGTGGCATAAGCTACTTTGTAGTGAGCAAAGTCAGTTCCTAAAGTATAGTCAGAGTCAGCGCACCCTACACTGTCACCCTCATTACCCCTGTCCCACAGGAGAAGGGGTAGTCTTGTCAGAGTGTCTCTGTTCCCCTCAGCCGGGCAGGAAGACTAAAAGGCTGTTAGGTGGTAACAGAGGAGGAATTGGTTCCTAGGACTTCCGGCTCTTCACCCAGGAGTTGGCCCCCCAGTGGTTTTTCTCAGGGCCTGGTAACGTGGGGGATAGGGTGGCTTCCTGTTCCATCACTTGAACCCCCAGGAGCTTCTCTGGAGGGGTCACTCACTGGCTGTTCTGTGATGATGGAGTTTGAGGGGTGTCTGAAGCCATTTTCTTGCTCCTGCAGCCGTATGGCCAAGTCCTGCTTCTCGCGTGCCCAGCGTCGAGCTGAGTCCTCTAACTGTAGACAAAGAGAAGGACAATTGGAGGCCCAGTGGGCAGCAAGCCTCATCCCTGACAGCCGGGACAACCAGGGGTTGAGCCTGCACTCTGGACAGAATGCAAAGCTGTGGACAATGTGGGCTTGACACCTTCCCAGAAGACTTCTGGGGTAACAGGGGTAAGGGTGAGAGGCCAAATAATAAGACAGTCTAAAACACAAATGAGTCTTCTCTGCATTCCAACAATGTATTCAGCCCTTATCTTGAGTTCATGCTGACTTTGGTCATAGACTGAGCCTGACTCTGCTCACACACTGACCCCTGATCCTACTCAGAAACTGAGCCTGGACCCTGCTCACACACTGACCCTCGATTCTACTCAGACACTGAAGCCTGACCCTGCTCACACTGAGCCCTGATCCTACTCAGACTAAGCCTTGACACTGATCCCACGCTGAGCACTGACCTTTGTCACAACTGTACAGTGAGCCTGGCCCAGCCTGATCCACTCCTATACCTCACCCACCTGGCTCTCCAGGGACAGGATCCGGCTTTGAGCTCGTTCCAGTTTGGCCAGGAGGTTAAACTTGTCTGAGGAACTGCTGAGGATATCCTGTGGGCAAAGCAAAATTCACAAATGGCCCCAACTGGGGGCTGCTGGATGTGTGCGCTCAGGAAACCATAAGGTGTTGAGGGGGAGACCAGCTCTCTGGTGCAGAGCCTCAGCTCCAGGCTGCACCTTCTTCCTGAAGTTCAGAATGTGCATTTGCCACAGATGTTTCCCTGCACAGATTTTGGGTGTGTGAAGTTTTTAATATATCGTATTTTCAAAATGTAAAATGCATCCAGGAGCTCCCTCTAATGCATAGAAAGTAACATTGAACTGGAAGTCTCCATGGAGCAAGGACACCTGGCCCTCACACTTTATCTGACACTTGGCCCTCACACTTTACCTGGATGTCATGCATCAGCTGTGTTTCCAGACAGAACTCACCTCCCGTGAATCTGGGGTGCAGAGAAAACTGTGCTTGCCCCTGCCCTGCCCACTCTTCTCTAATTCTAAGTGTTTTGTCTTTGGGTCTGTGTAAAGCAGGGGGCTGCCTCAGAAGTGGGGTGGGGCCTGGACGTTTCTGGGCTCTGGGACACCCACCTGTGTGGGAAGGGTGTCTGTGCACTTGGAGTGGCCTGGGCCATCTGTCTCTTGCAGCCTCTCTGCCAAGTCTCCTCCTGCTCCCAACTCCCCAGGGTCCACCTGGGATGGGGGAAAAGGGCTCTCCAAAGTTGCACCAACCCCAGGAAATGCCTCGGAAGGGAGTTCTGAGAGACTTGTGTGGGGTCCAGGTAGAGGCTAGCCAGGTGGCAAAAAGGGTCAGGGTTTAGGCATCAGGGGTCAGTTAGGGGCTTGCTTTCTCCTAGGATGCTAGAGTAAAGGTAACACTCTCAGGTACATGCGTTCCCACCGAGGAAAAAAGCAAGACCTGAGGGCTCAGATTCCAGGAGACTCCAGCCAGATTGGAGACCCTGGAAAGCCGAGCTCCCAGTCTAGAATTTCAACTTGGATTGTGCTGTGGGTGATTGCTGGGCCCCCGGTGACCGGTACAGGCAGCCCAGGCCAAGCCTGTACCAGTGGCTCTTACCGGCAGTGACTGCTGCTGCAGAATGATGGGGGCTGACTGGTGGCGGTTCTTATCCAGCTCTGCCCGCAGCCTTGAGTTTTCTGCCAGCAGCACCGAGTAAAGGTCGCCTGGCAGGTTCTCTCCTGTAGAACCCAGGGGAAGGCCAGAGGCTGAGCGCATAGGTAGGGCTGCGGACAAGGCCACAGATGTCGGTGAGATGGGCTTTTCTGCCTCTATGGGCCTGCCCTGATTTCCCCAGCATTTTGCTCCCATCTGTCCCTCCTCTGTTTCCAAGCCTTCAGTGGCTCCCTACTGCCAGTGGGATCAGGTCCACACTCCTCAGGCTGTCCTTCTAGGCTTTTCCCTGGGTTGCCTTCTTGATCTCTCAACCAGACTCCTGGATGACCTCAGTGTTCTTAAAAGGCTGGCTCAGATTTCTATCAATAAAGAGCTTTAGGGGTGGCACTTGTGGCTCAAAGGAGTAGGGCGCTGGCCCCATATGCTGGAGGTGGTGGGTTTGAACCCAGCCCTGACCCAAAACTGCAAAATAAATAAATAAATAAATAAATAAATAAAATAAAGACCTATAGGACTCTCCACACCTCCTGAAGACTGAGCATGGGGCTGGCCACACAGGGGACAATGGCGAAGCTGCACATGTGGGTTTCTAGAAATCCCTAGTGTTGGGTTGGCCTGATAAGGTGGCACCTGGTTCTTTCCTGCTTATCAGAGCTTATCAGTGCTTTGGTTAACATCAATGAGGAAAAAAAAAGTCATTGATTTAATCAAAGTATGTTTGTTCATTTGCAGAGGCAGAAGCTTTGAAGGTATGAGGAGATGGGCAAATAACTTGAAGCATCCTAGAGTTAGAAGGTGAGAACTGCTGCCTGGGGAAGTGCCTCTCTGCTTGTTCTAGTGTGCAGGGTGCCTCCTTCAAGCCTGGTTCACACACTGTGTCCCAACTGTGCTTTGAAGGGTTTCCAGGGAAGGAGAGCCCAGGGAACATCTCTGGAAGTCTCAGTGCCTGAATGAGCGTGCAGGAGGCAGCACAATCCTGGGTCTCTCTGATCTGCAGTGGACCCCCTTCGCAGATTCACCCGAAGCTAGGTGGTTCTGGGAAGGCAGGGCCTCCCAGGGAGAGCAAAGCTGGGGCACAGACTCACTCACTTCGGGGAACGGATGCACCCAGGTTGGGCTTGCCTTGCAGCCTGTTGGGAGGTAGGGGCTCCGTCCTCTCCCGCAGCCTGTCCTCCAGCACCCGCTCCATCTTCTCGATCACCTGGAGGGCAGGGCAGAGACTGGGCTGGCCGGGGGTCACCATACCGTGCTGTCATTGGTGGGCCTCTGGGGGTGGCCCCTCCGGCACCTGCCTTCTCCTGGTGCCGCACAGTGTCCTCCAGTGCCTTCATCTTCTGCAGCTTGTCCTGGTACCGTTTGAGCAGCGCAGCCTGTGGCTGCTGAGCCTGGTACAGAAGGAGCAGCTCCTTCTCTCGATCATTCTTCTGCAAGGGAGTGGGGATGAATGGGTGCCTGGAAGTCCTGCTCGGCCCTTGAGGTCCACCCAGGCCCCTCTGTTGAGTCCTCCACTTGGCTGAGCACCCTTCCCTGTCCCTGCTGTCCCTCCTACTCCTATAAACTTCTTCCAACACCTCCCACTCTCCCTCCCTTCGCCTGCCCCAGTCCTAGCTCACTCGAATCAGTTCGTTCTGCAGATGCTGCACCTTGTCCCTCAGTTTCTTCATGTCCATCTCGCTCAGCAGCAGTTTCTGCTTCATGGACACTGTCGGGGGAGGGGGGTTGGGGAGACGGCTCAAATTGCCAGTCAGTGGGGAGAGGGCAGGGGACTCTTAGCCCTGGGGCTTGAGACAACTTCATTCTCTGCCTCCCATCCCTGAGAGGCCTAAATCCAGATGCATGCACATCTAGAAAAAGCTCCCACTACCCACCACACAATCCAGAGCCCAGGCGCAGGCAGGTGGCTGGATGCCCTCAGTGGTCTCACCCAGACTCTGGGCCTCCTGGGCTGTGCCCTCCTCCTCTTCCACCTCTAGCCCAGTCAGTTGGCTCCTCAGCATGCGGTTCTCCCCCTCCAGCATGCTGGCATGTTTCTGCAGCGACAGGATGTCCTCCGCCATCTTCTTCATGGCCCGCCGGTAGTTGTTCAACTCCTGTGGAGCCCAGAGCCCAGAGCTGAGACCTCTGTCCCATGGAGGAGGTCCTCACATCTTCCCCCCATCCCACATCTTCACCCACACTTAGAAGCTGGAGGGTTCACCCCCAAGGCCAAAAAGCAGCCTGAGCCCACACTATGCCCCTGAGTCTTAGCAAGTCTCTGGAGGGTGGTTGTGACAGACTGGGTTCTCACCCCCTACCCAGCCACGACAGGGAAGCTGCACTAATCTTCCCTCCCTGGGACCACAGTGTGTACTATGATACCAGCTGAGGAGGACTCAGGGCCCAGATGCCAGGGGAGAGAGCCTGTGGGCAACGGAGACTGAAAGGATCCTGGCCAGGTGTCCTGAGTCTAAGGCTCTTTGCCTTCTCCCTTTTCCAGTCTCTTCTTCTGGTTCCTTTTTCCCTACATCACTGAAAGCCTAGGGAAGAACCTCTCAGACATCACCCTGAATGCAATTTGGGAGCTCACATCAGCCCCCTACCAGCCCAGTGGTCAGCAAAGGACCCATAGTGCACCCAGGAGACCCAGGTAAGGACTTAGGATGGAGGTTGGGATCCAGCTATATGATGTGGGTTGCAAGGTGGGGGCTGGAATCTGCACTCAGTCCTCAGGTTAGGAGTAACAATTGTCTGGCATCTGAGGCTCACTGAGCATTTACTATGTTCCAGGGATGCTTCTAAATGTTTTATGTGCCCTCTCTCAGTCCTCACGTCAAGCCTATGAGGACAGGTACTACAGTCATCCCCACTTATCCATGAGAAGACCAAGACCCAGAGAAGTGAATAACTTGTTTAGTTATAAGACTGATGAGCGGCAGAGCCAGGATCTGAAATCCAGGTCTGCTGGGCCATCAGCCTGTGTTATTAAGGATCAGTCCCACCATGATGTCCTCATATGTGGACACTTCACAATATGATGAAAAGTGATAAAAGCAAGTTGCAAAAACAGACTAGCCATGCAATACTCATTTGGGAAAAACATTCATGTCTGCTTATACACATGCTTTATACATAGGGAAATTAATTAGCTATATATATATGTATATATATATGCATTTGTTTTATAATCAGAAATTATAAAAATTTCATGAAGGGAGTTTCTTAAATCTAAATAGTGCAATAGAAAAGGGAATCCCAAACATGAATCCAGAAAGATTTGGGTAGAGGAGGAGGCGACAGGAGCTGGGATGTGGGAGACTGTGAAAGCAGGGAAGTAAATTTGCTGAGTCCTGGTGGCCCTGGGCTTCTTAAAGCTGTGGGAGGCCTCGCTGCACATGGGGGAGGGGGCTCATGTCCCCAGGAAGCAGAGCTCTGTCCCCAGATCCCATCCCGACCCCATGCTGACTGTGGATGTGGCCTGGCTGCCCTGCCACTGCCTGCCACCTGCTGCACCGCAGGCCTCAGCTTCTAAAGGAGAGGTCCCAGACAACAGGGCCTCATCAGATACCACTTGTCATCTGTCACTGTCTAGCCTTCTGGCTGGACTCCTTCTAACTCGTGCCTGTGCCAGGTCCCTCTCCCAGCATCTGCCCCAGTTGAGCTTCAGGTCTTGGCTCCTCTAGATCTGCCCATCTGGTGTCCGTGGACTGCACCGTTAACTGAGACTCAGTCCGGAGACCACACACACACTCAGGGCCCCTGCCCAGGCAGGTACAATTTGGAGGATGCTGTTCTCATCCCAACCCATTTATGTTCTACTGGCTGCTTTAGTCGTCAGGTCAGGCTCCTTCCTTTTCCTCCTTGCTGCCCCCTAGACTCCTTTTCCTCCTCTGCTGTGCTCAGGATCTTCAATTTATGGCAGTCCATGACTGATGAGGTTGAGGGGCCCAGCAGGCTGGCTGGAGAGAAAGCTCATGATATATTGACAAAGGAAATTTGTCCCCTTTTTCTTCAGCCTGGTTCAAACTCTTATCATGTCTGCTCTGGACAATTATAGTAGCATCCAAATGGGTTTCTTGGCTTCCAGGTTTATGTCCTGGAGAAGCACACACACACATGTTCAAGGACGCTCCTTGCAGCACAGTTTGTGGTCTTATACCAGGGGCGTGCTGAGTCTCTGGACCCCAGGCAGAGTTACAAAGAATGACCTAGATTTAATTGTGTTAACACAGAGGGATGGCCACATTCTATTGTGAAATGAAAGAGCACGTGACAGATTAATATGATCTCATCTGTAACTGGGCTGTGTGTGTACATGCAGGGCACCACAGGGAAGTGGCTGCAGGCCCTGGGCCTACACCCTGGGGCTGAATCTGATCACCCTTCTTCTCATTCAGGAGCTCATCCTTTCTAGGACCCCACTGTTCTCCAGCTCAGGAGTCCTGGGAGGGGTGAGCAGACCCCTGCTATTAGCATCCTCCCTTGACAGAGGAGAAAAGCTGGGTCAGGTAGAAAGAAGGAGGTGGAGGGAGAGCACGGGGTCGCTGCCTCAGCTAGATGGTCCCTGCTGGATTCCGACCCTTGAAGACTAGCCCTGGGAGCCTTCCACAGGTCTGTTCCCTCTGCCCCCCAGCCTGGCCACGTTCTGAGAGTGAGGGCTTCCCAGATGGGGGGTGCCTGGCACTGGCCCCTTGATCTCCATCCTGCCAGTGTTCTACGTTCACGTGAACCTGTGGATGTGTCCTCCCTCCTCAGCCCCCCCCCACACACACAGTCGGGACCTTGGGCAGCACAGCTGGGTTGGGAGGCCAGAGCCTGCAGGTGGGCAGCCCTGACCCCTGATATCCCCCTACAGCTTCCCCCCCACAAGGCCATGCTCTGCGTCACAGCCCAGCCTTGGGAACAAGCAAGACACTGTGCCCCAGATTCCTGTTGTGGTCCTGCCCCACCACTGCCTGCTGGGGGGCGGGCAGGATGTGGGTCCCTATGCTGTCTTGGCTCTGGCATGTCCTCTAGGGCTACTGACTCTAAAGCCACTGTGTCAGCACCTGAGTGCTCACCACGTCCTCCCCACCACTGACATCCCACCCTCTCAGAGGCTGCTGAGGTGAGAAATATCAGGTGGTCCTGAGTTTAAATTTTCCCACTGCCACTAAGCACTGTGGCCTTTGTAGCACCAACACCTCTTTGCCTGTGGTAAGGGGCAGCTGTTCTCTGAGCCTTGGTATCCTCATCTGTGGAATGGGAAAGTCACCCCACCTCAGAGGGGGCTGCTGTGGGTGACAGGCGGTGAGAGGAGGGCCAGACCAGGCCATGACACCTCGGGTGCCAGCAATGGTAACTCTTCTCCGCACCACCCTTTGAGTGCTTTTTTCTTTTATAATTATTCTTATAATAGCCCTGGGCACAAGGGATGATTGTGTAACCACTCATTTTACAGAAGCTGAGGCTCAGCTTCCATTAAGGAGCAGGGTGGTAATTGTCTTTACGAAAGCCCGAGGAGGGCAATGCAGCCCTCCCCGACGAGCATTCGTGGTGGAATCTGGCCCACCTCATCCACATATGTTTGTGGCTACCACTAACTATTTGACCAGAAGGGCCCTGTACACTCATTGTACAGGTGGAGAAGCTGAGGTTGGAAGTGGTGTTCTCAAGGTGACAGAGACTCAGTATTAAGCTCAGGCTAGAAGCAGCACAATAAACCCTTGGTCACCATCACTTGCTGAGCACTGTGTGTGCCAGCTCTGTGTCAGGTCTGTGCCATACTGCGCCACAGAGTAAGTGGTCTCCCACCTACACTGAGGAGACAGCAATGGCATCTGCGACAGAGGGGAGCTTAGAGGAGGATCTTTCTCAGCCTGGGGACCCAAGAAGGCTTTCTGGAGGTGGTGATAATCTGAGCTGACTCTAGGAGGATGAATAAGTGTCACCCATGGGTGGAGAGAGGGTGCCCAGGCAGAGGAGACACTGTGGCAAAGGCAGGGAGGCTGGAGTGTGTGTGAAGAGGGCAGAGTGCAGGGGGTGAGCTCAGGGGTGCGGCTACAGAGGCCTCGAAGGCCAGTCTCAGGAGTTGGATGCCATCCTGCAGGCTGCTGAAGGGCCTAAGCTGGGGTGGGAGGTGGTGGTGACAAGACCCCTCTGGCTGCCCAGCACTGAGGACAGATAGGGGATGGAGGCCCAGAGCTGGAACTGGCTGAGACTCATGGGACCTGTGCAACCGCAGGCCAGGCAGACCATGGGGCACTGAGCAGAGCAGAGGGAGGTGGGGGTAGAGGGGGCAGAGCCTGGCATCTTTGGGTGGAGGAGGTGTACCCCTGGAGTGGGCAGAGGGGGAGCCAGCTTGGGGAGGAGGGCACGCTGGGGGTGAGGTACCTGTGGGGCTCTTGGGTGGAGGTGGTTGACAGGTGGCTGATGGTGCTGGAGAGACTGGTGGGAGGGCAGCCCTCAGTGGTGTGACTGGAGTCGTGGGAAGGGAGTGGATTTTCAGAGTTGGGGAGAAGTTGAAATGAGGAGGGGAGTTTGAGGACAAAGAGTGGTGGGAAGAGGGGCTCTCAAGACCAGGGAAATTGGCTCGGTGCCTGTGGCTCAAGTGGCTAAGGCACCAGCCACATACACCTAAGGTGGTAGGTTCGAATCCAGCCCGGGCCCACCAAACAACAATGACGGCTGCAACCAAAAAATAGCCGGGCGTTGTGGCGGGCACCTGTGGTCCCAGCTACTTGGGAGGCTGAGGCAGGAGACTCACTTGAGCCCAGGAGTTGGGAGGTTGCTGTGAGCTGTGATGCCACGGCACTCTCCCCGGGGGGACAGCTTGAGGCTCTGTCTCAAAAAAAAGACCAGGGCAATTGCCAAAGAGGCAGAAGAACAAGGGTGAGAGCAGGCTGGCAAAGCCAACGAAGTGCAGAGAGCTACAGCAGGACAGTTGATCACGTGCTCAGGTCACAGCAGGCTGGGTAATAGAGACAAACTTGCCACTGGAGATAGCCTGAGCAACCAACAAAAACCACCTTCATAAAAGCATCAAGGAGCTGGTGAGACAGTCGGGAATTATCAGGCAGAGACGGTGGGGGGCCATGTAGTGGATACGACACTGCATTGAGAAGAGGGAACCACA